TCGCAACATAACTTACCCTTTCCGACTCAAAGGCGATTCACCTGGTTGCGGCCTCCCAAGGTACGAATTAGATTGCGTAAACAATGTGACCGTGTTCACCTTGTTTTCAGGGAAATACCATGTGCAGAATATCGATTACGAGACATTCAAGATCCAATTGACTGATGCAGGTTTTGTGGAGGACACTGCTTGCTCCATTCCTCGCTATTTCATGTTTTCAAAGAACTTCACTTCCGTTGGTAACCCTAGCGTTTACGCGACTGATCCGCTAACTATCTGGAATCGGGATGGGCATGCTTATATTCCTCCGTATGTAGCGTTTCTAAACTGTACTGATCCAGTAATCGATGATCCTCGATACGTGGAAGTGAATGGCATGCTTTGTGATTCTAGAGGCCATGTCTATGCTGTTATTTATTATTCCAGATATAGTTTCGAAATGAGGGACATCAAGGTTGGGTGCCATTTAATAGTTGCTACCTTTGGAAACTGGAGCAATGGCTTGAACAATGGCTGGAACAATGGCCCCAACGTTTCGTATGTTGATATCCACGAGTGGCTACATAATGGGTTTTGGTTGTCTTGGGCACTACTTAAATGTATAGATCAATGTGGAAAGGGTGTGGGATGCTTCATCAATGAAACTACAAATCAAATCCGATGTTATGATAACTATTGCGAAATTATGTGGATTAACTTTGGAAAAGGAAAGTGCGGTGAGAAAAAATTCTTCTACCGCAATTTTTCTGTCCCTTTTATTGAAACGTGTTGTACAAACAAATAGCTTTAATCTTTACAATATATGTTAATGTTTTCTTTTTCTGTTCTAGGCATTCAGCTCCAGATTTTTGGACACCTAGTTCGAATTCTTGCCTATATAGCACGTAAGAGCTTTCTCCCATATCTTTGTCCTTTCAATTACTATTGTACTGACTACTTAAAGTTAATCTATATTTTGACTCATTAGTAAGCTGTACAATTTCTGTACGATTCATTCTGATAACCTGCAAGTTGTGCATCAAAGTTGATAAATTTTGAAACGCATATCGTTCTGTACTCTAACTCAACAAGTAGTTGACAGGAGTTTCTAAACAAAAAGCCTTAAAGGGATG